CACCCCCAACCGTCGAGAAATTGGTTCAGCCACTGGTTACTTCCGCCAATGTCTCAGTCTTTTCTTAATTGTCGAAACAGAATGTTGCGCTTGTTCCTGTCAGTCCCAGTCTGATTTCTAGAACCGATCCACGGTCATAATCGAGGTATTTCAGGCCCTTCGTCCCTTCGCATTGGGGTTCGACCAGGGACCAGCAGTTGGTGAACAGGCATCGACAGCTGATGGAAAACGTCTGGCGCTAGCTAAAGCCTGGGGATTCATGTCCGTGTACCAATTCGTAGACCCTGAGGGAGACGCAGCTTGGTAGCGAGCTTGCAGTTAAGCGTGGTCTTGCTCATCAACCTTGTCGCAAGCTGATCTCTTTCTCGCCAATAATCGACTGGTGGCAGATCGATTGTCGAGACTGTCGCGCCGTTGAAACTCCTTTCGCTGTTCCCATCTGCCGCAGAAATATGAGGCCATAATGACAGACAAGGAGCTGACTGCCTCAACCCTCTCTATACCCGTCGCGTACCCGGGCGATCCCGTCAGTTCGGTTTGACGCGTGTGACGTTCGCCTGTCCTCGTCCATACATCGAATTGTAGACTGTAGTTGGGTGTCCTCTGTTGAGAAGCGATCATGCTGTGTAGCCGGCGATGCTCTCCAATTGCATATTCGAGGCTATTCGGTCTTCGCTTCGTCCCTCGTGGATGCGGCACAGATCATCGTTCGGTGAGTCTTTTTCCCGCATTGGCTCATCCACTCATAAGCTCTTGATACTTGGAAGTGATGTCTACTACGCTGAATTCGGATAAACGCAAAGACTTGGGCTTTGACTATCTCCGACTGGCGTTGTCGGTGACAAATTTGCCCTGCGTCTAGACCTCACGGTCTCCCCATCGATCGTAGATCTACAGCTCGAACGGGTCTAGCCCGCAGGCACTCAAGACGCCTAGACCGGGATGGCCACAGACTCGACCAGGGCCCTGGTCGTCTTCTCCATATCGGTGCGCCTTCAGTGCCACCAGAGACTCTAAAGCTGCGTGGTACAACGCAGATCATCTGACCCTGCCCTTGGTGGTGAGAACCAATCATCCTGGTGCAGCACCACCCTTGTTTTTGACAGAGCTTCGCTGCCCGAGCGTGTCTGCGTGCTTGCCCTGCCCGTTGTTGACGTCATCCTAGCATAAGCAGTCTTGATTGGTCGTCGGCCTCTCTCCCGAATCCTCAGAACGCAACCAAACGTCGTTCAACCTCGTAGACAGAAGCAGAGTAGCTCGAGTGTAGCTCGAGGGTAGCTCGTTCGTGCCACTGAAAGATTCCATATCATGGCGCATCTTTGTCTTGACATGTGCTGGGTGCATGCCACCCGTGTGCAATCCACACAATGACTCGATTCCTCCCCGTTTACTTTGCTTCTAAGTTGTCAGCCATGTCAGCGTACCTAGCACTGGGTCACAATAGGTTGTGGGTTGCGTCTCGCTTTTCGATGTCGCGGGATATTATGTCATTCCGTCTCGATTTCGTAACGCAGCCTTACATCTGTCGCTCAAAGCAACAGACGACATGATGCAGTACAGGCATAGCAAAATCCCTTCGCTTGCAAGGGTATCATATCGGCCATTTCGTCATTTGGACCCTGAGGATCCAGAGAAAGGGCCCCTTCACGTGCTCATGTGCCCTCCTCGTTACATTGCCGCCGGAGTTCATCCATGTAATTCGCCTCTTCCCCGCTCGCTCAGACTGAATTGTCTTTCATCACTCCACACGTCGAACATGTCCACCACTGCCTTTCCATCATCGTCCCACAATACGAACATTGCCAGGTTAGGGGTTTCACTGGCTCGGGGCGTTGATTGGTGCTACCAGGCTTTCTACTGCTACTGGCTCTGAGCGGGCTACTTGTGAGATCGATAGTGGCAGGCTGTGTCGTGCTCTTCGTCGTTGCGGCCATTGATGCCCTTTGGCGTTCGCGTTCGCGTTCGCGCTTTTCAGCATTTGGTGTCCACACTTGACGCTGAGGATCCTGACCTCGTTCTGTGCCGCACGCATCGCAGCACAAAAAACTTGAAGGATTATGGAGGGTACAGACTCCGCATGTCCAGCCCCGTTGCGGAGCTGGTTGGGGCACCGGCGCAGACACAACTGGTGGCCGAGTCTCTGGCCTTGGTATCGATGGAGGTCTCGTTCCTGGTCCTGGGATCGGCGGAGGAAGACTACTGCTCCTGTTTTCGTTATCTCCCATGACGGATCCTCCACCGTTACCAGTAGGGTTTTGCGCTGTTGGCGGAATAAAGTAACCACCGTACCGTTGGCGCTCTTCTTCTTGTACCAGTTCCCAGAGAGCTTGCGCAATTGCAGCTTCATTAGCCGCGTCTTCTTCGGCCTGCGTACGGAAGCCGTTCTTCGTAGCTGTCTCGGAGATTTGTTGAATCTCCCTATCATTGTGATTCGTATTACCGCATCCCTGCAGCGTGGTGTTTCTGCGCTCTATTGCGCCCACGATGGTTCGCCGGATATCTGAACCGATGCTAGGTCCAGAGCCACCAAGGCGCTGGCCTGACCCCTTTGTCAGGGTGCGACGCTTTTCAGCTGATGCTCTAGCAAGTCGTCTAGCTTCATGCATAGGTATCCGGCCGCCTCCCAGGCGATGTCCATCTGATAAAAATCCTTCACCCGTATATCCCTTTCGAATAAGCGACTCGTGTTCGTCTCGAAGTTGGTTCCATAGCGCATGGAAGTTGCCATCGTGTGGTCCAAATACAATGTGTGAAAGTTCGTGAAGCATCGTATCAACTACGTGCTCTATAGGTAGGAAGAGTGATCGGTCATTGGGATAACGTAGACGGACGAGGATTCTTTGACCTCTGTTAATATTCAAACCTGAATACACCATAATTAGTAGATTGATGGAACTTTTAGGAGATTTACATACCGAGGAGGTTTGCTTGATCTGGATAAAACTCAGCTAGCTCTCGCACCTTCCACCCCCTAACTCGCATGATGGGCTTGACCAAGGAGGCCACCTTCTTCAGCGTTTGGAGAGCATCGGGAGCGCGCGGAAAATCCGGTAAATGTGAGAATGATAGAATAAGAGCATCGTGTTCTGGCATTTTATCGTCGTGTATCGTTGTATGTAGTCATGTAGTCGTTGCGTGGTTATAAATGCGAAAGAGGGAAGTAATCAAGACCCTAAATCATCACTAGGAAGGAAATGAGAGAAACGAAAAAAACGGCAGGAAGTCAACGAGTGACGGGGTATTGAAGAAAATCGCAGGTAGGAGCGACTCATAGATGGAGTTTGGTAGAACAACGTGGAAAGGAAGTCATTCACATCGTAAGCAGTGGCTGACACGTACGAAGACGCGTAAGGGGACCTGATGCCTTTCGGTGATAGGGGGGGCAATGGTCGGGCGGTGAGTCTTTGTGAGTTTTTGGACTGTCACTGCCTCTTGGCAAATTTCAGAAATTCAAGCAGGCAAGTGGGGTAGCGGGGTATGTTGTGGTGACTAAGCAGCATCCTGGCAGTGCCTGGCTCGGGAATCTACTTCCACCTTGAGCTTTCCACCTTTTGCAGATTTGGGCAGCTGTCAAGCCACCATTCATTTCACCTTACCCATGAACACATACACACACGCACATTCTCTCATCGCTTCTTCGATCCCTGAATCATCGGAATTCCGATGAAATGGTATTGGCCAGTCAACCGAGAGCTTGATGATGGATGGCCAATACCTGGCAAGATGAATGTGTCCCAACAGGATCTCGGACGGAAAATCAAGGCAACGACGCCTTGAAGAGATTAGCTTGCAGAGATCGACCTCGCCAAGTGATGGCGCTAATCTTCGCTCGGTTCCTATACCAATACGTTTGACGATGCCTCTTTGATACGCCTTATCAACGGGCTGACTTCTGCAAGTATCTCTAGTCGCAAACTCAAGCCGGGCTTATAAGCCATCGGAACCCGGCTGTCCCGACGTCAAGGAACGGGCAACTTCTCCTACTGTCCGATCAGTATTGCAACGACCGGCTTTTTTCCTTCGGAACAAGCTGATGTCAAATACTCACAACCGTCGCACATGTCCGGGGATTCGGCCGAAGACTCAAGTGGTGTCGTCCAAGTCACAACAGCTGTCAACAGAAGGATGGAGAGCGGTTTCAGTTTTGCATGAATCTCGTCACAGCTATGCCACAACTTCTCTGACTCCCTTGTTCTTCTCGTCTCCGTATTAGACTTTGACCGTCAAGATACGTCGCAATCTATTTCTCCCGCTCTTTTCATCGCATGTCTCTGAGCAACTTCAGATGATTGATCATTAATTTTTTGCTTTCCCACATTACGGATGCCCTCGTTCAACATCACAAGTAAAGTCTTGACCTAGCTGGATGCGTTGCGACTACAAACAGGGGTCTGGGAATCCAACAAATCGTCGCGGGAGTTCGGCATCGCGACTTGGTTGACCTTGCGGACAGGGGTCGCATGCCTGACTTACAGTGTTTCGGAAGCCAAGCATACGGCCATAGAGGCCGCCTCACAACTCCGGCGTACAGTGTCCGCAAGGAACCACGCTTGGAGTTGAGCTGAATGATCGACTGTCGCAGGTCATCTACGGATGCGCCTCTTTGGGAGACTGTCGACTCGTTGATGGCAGGCAGACTCGAACGATTCAGCCCCTGGCGCCTACATCAGGTCCTCGTCGCCAGGCCCGGAAAGTGGAATTTTCTCCTTCTGTCTCGCGATTCGTCATTGCCTGGATGGCGATCCAACTGGTGACTAGGTATTCGAGCATTTCGAAACGGCTGAGAAGGTCGATCTATGCGTTGCTACAATGGGAAGCGAACTTGGCAAAAGCTTGTGTGCTTATCTCTCCAGGACGCTCCGCGCTTCCAAGCCTTTTGTTTTCCTTGTGTCACTATCTCCATACTGTTCTGCTTCTAAGATCGTTATTTGCTGAAAGCTCTGTGAGCTTCTCATCTGGCTTCACTCCTTCGCCAGACCTTTCATCTACCCCAAGTGGCCATGCGTTTCACCAAACCAGCTGCAGTGGCAGCATTCGTTCCCTTTGCTTCTCATCTAGTAGATGCGGCACCTCGAAACTTAGAAATTTCCACTCTAGGCGGCGCGGCCTTCCGAATCGAGCAGGCTCCCAATCCCGACTTTTACTATGGAAACAGGCGAGGGCCCATCGCACTAGCCAGAGCTTATTCCAAGTTCGGGCAGCAGATTCCCGACGATCTATTAGGGCTCATCGATCAAATCCTCGGAGAGCTTGGGTTGCTGAACGGAGGCAAAGGCAATGGCGGTCGTAAAGGGGGTAAGGGTGGCGGCAAAGGAAAGGGTAAGGGAGGGAAAGGAGGCAATGCTGGTGCTGGTGGTTCCAAGGGCAATGGTACAACCACTACTCCCGGAGGTGGAGGTAACAAAGGCAATGGCACGAAGACACCTCCAGGTGGTAAGTTGATATGTCGGCTTCTTAGGATTAAGCTTACAGTCCTGAAGGAGAGGTTGCGGCGATTCCCGCCGAGTTCGACAGCCAGTATCTCTGCCCTGTCCAGATCGGCACACCGCCCCAGACTATCCCGCTCAACTTCGATACCGGGTCCTCGGATCTATGGGTCTTCAGTAGCGAGACACCCATAACCCAAGTCGCGGGGCAGACAGTGTATAACATCAACGCCAGTACAAGTGCCAAAGTCCTCCAGGGTGCTTCTTGGTCGATCTCCTATGGCGACGGTAGCTCGTCCCAAGGTAATGTTTTCATGGACACTGTCACGATCGGCGGCGTGACTGTAGAGAGCCAAGCAGTCGAGTCTGCTACTCAAGTGTCTTCGTCATTTTCCCGAAACAAGAACCAGTCTGGTCTTGTCGGACTTGCCTTTGGCAACATCAACACCGTCAAGCCTGCCAAGCAGAAAACCTTTTTCGAGAATGCAATGAACAATCTCGCCATGCCACTGTTCACAGCAAACCTCAAGAAGGCAGCTGGTAAGTCTCAAATTCTCACGTCAAGGCCCCTTCGGAACTATTCACTAATTTCGCAATCACAAGCTGGAAACTACAACTTTGGCTTCCTCGACTCGACAGAGTACACGGGCGACATCACCTTCGTCCCCGCCAACACGACGCAAGGCTTCTGGCAATTCACAGCCCAAGGCTTCGCCGTCGGCTCCAACGGCAGCGCGCCCACCTCGGCCCCTCACGCCGCCATCGCGGACACGGGCACAACGCTCATGCTGCTGCCCGACGCCATCGTCTCGGCGTACTACCAACGCATCGCGAGCGCAAAGTACGACGCGACCAACGGAGGCTTCGTCTTCAACTGCAAGGACACGATACCGTCCTTCACGGTCGACATGGGCAAGTACCAGGCCGTCGTCCCGGGTGACTTTATGAAGTTTGCTCCCGTCGACGGGCAGACGGTTGAGACTTCGACGACGTGCTTTGGGGGTATACAGAGCTCTGCGGGTTTGCCCTTTGCGATTTACGGGGACGTTTTCCTTAAGTCGCAGTTTGTGGTGTTTCATGGCGGGAATAAGGAGTTGGGGTTCGCGAATAAGCCCCTTTAATGAGTAAAGGTAGACAGACGCTGGACGTTATCTGTTTTTGTGATGATGCTTGAGGTGAAAGGTAGCGCAAGGCTGGATGGCTCCCAGCAGCGGCCATCATAGACGGCATGTTCATTTGCTTATTTGGTAGAACAGATTCGAAAAATAGAAAGTAATTTCTATCCTTTGGTGCCTCGATCCCAGTAACCTGCTCATCAAGAAGGTATCCAGCCGTCTTTCTTGGAACTTCAGGCTCCCCACCCACACATTCACCACTCCCAGTGCCGCCCCCCCCCCTTCTCTTATCCCAACATTCAAGCCACCCTTACCCGGACGGTCAACCCTTCATCTACAACATTCTTCTTCATACGAATACCTGCCCCGGGGGACGCCCCGGGAACGCATTAGCCGAGCGGTAAAAACCAGAGCAGAAAATTCCCCTAGGGGGGTGGGGTTTTCATAGGGTCGGGGTTCAACACCCCTTCTCCGAATTTTTAGGAGAAATTTTCTAGAGATTTTATCTTTTTGGGTGGTCGAATTTTGAGTGCATGGTATCAGGAGTGGATAGAGATGGTATATATGTAGTTATTTTTGTGGTTCGAGAAAGGTTGCTGATGAAGATGGTGGTGATGGTGACGTGTGTTGTTGTTTACTGGGTTGTTGTGGTGGTTGCGAGGGAAGGCGCGCGGCGTGTGAGGTAGGTAAACAATGTCGACTTCGCTCCTGCCTTGAACAGATCTGAGCACGAAGGCGAGGAGAAATATGGGCAAGCATCTTTCGTGTATTCCACCTTTCAGGTAAATGTGGAATTCAGAATGTAAGCGAGGCCTTCTCGCTCCTGGGGACCGCACCCATCTCCTTACGTTTCAACGACCAAGTATACTCGCCCTGTAGATGACCTTGATATTCTCCTAGTAAATACACCAAATATCCGAATGCTTGCGCAAAGGGAGAGATCTCTCATGAGCGATATGGTCTCGCCCCTACCTCCTACTCCGGTTCGAGATCATGAGGGAGAGTACTACTGGTGAAGTGATTGGATACAAACTCGTCCCAATCCCCAGCACCAGCATTCGAAGGACGACTGAACACCGGAAGACAGAAGCCGTTCCCAAAATCGTGATACTCAATCTTTCCGGTTTGTTATAAGAGAGAAAGTAATAGTAATTTATGTGTCTAGAACTGGGTACATTGTTCAGCCGACAAAGGAGACGGGTACTCGACTATTGTAGATCGATTATCCATGTTCAGCATCACGCCCAGCCACTCTTCTAGCCGTTCGATGCCCCCCACCCGGCTCTCCTCCCTTGTGTAGGTCATTTGGGTCAAGGTATTCGGACCGTAGGACTTGGAAGCAATCGCTCAAACCAGCTGTGCCATGCGCACGGGGGCTCGATGGAGACAGAGGACGCTCCTGCTTATCTGTCCATCATGCGATACTTGATCATGGCGACCCTCAAGTCGTACAAATCACCACTGTTTGGTGGATTCTGAGACCCTCTAATGTGTCGTACAAGCCAATCAAATCACTAAGGCGGAGAAGAATTAGACGGAAATCAAGATCGACCTACATGCGTGTGCGAAGACAGCGTTTCGGTAAAAAAAAAAAAAACTCACGATTCTTTACTTCAGGCTCAGTCTTGTATATAACGATGCACGAATAACCCACCAAACGTCCTACATCACGGTTCGCTGGCGTGACGTATCTTGGACCTGTGCTACTACACCACCGCGGCTTCGATGAGTATACACCTGCCATATCAGGGTGTCTGCCTACTACTTTGTCCATTATCCTTCGCCGTCCACTAACAGGCCGACTCGGGGGGATTCGTGCAAAGGGTTTGTAGGGGACTCAACAGAGTCAGAGTGGGATCTCAGTCCCCTCTGCCATTGATCTGACATTTTCGTCTTTGATTTCGACTTCACATGGATGTACCCCCTTTTCCCTCTCCTCCCCCCCCCCCCCTCCTGTGCCAGGTCAGTCTGTCCACGCCCACAGTAATGAAATGCCAAAACCACGGCCGGAATTTCTTAGGCAAGTCTATGTTAGTTTTACCGGAAACGACAGGTCATTCCAAGCCTCCGACGGTAGATACGCTCGTGAAAATCCGGAGCAGTCATCACGAGGAAATAAGTCACAGGATATCATGTCATATATCAAGCCAACTAGCAAGTAAAGCTGCGAGCCATTGCACACGGAGTACTCGGACGAGATTGCCTTCGCATGGAATTCGGACAGATACCCGAGTGAGCAGCTTCGCGCGGGGGGGCTTATTCCAACCTCGTTAACATTCATCTCCCCATCTCAGATACTCTCCCGTCGTCAATCTCACGCCTCTTCAAATCGTCGTGCTTCATGAGACTAAGATGACTCATGCCGTGCTGGAGAATCGCCGTGGCCAGCATCATACAAGAAAGGTCCAAACTACTGGCGCATGAACGCGGTTGATCTTTCATCAACGATGAATAGGGCGACTATCATCAAGAGTAGAAGCGGACCCTGATTGCTACTGTACACTGATATAGCGAGTAGACGTCGCCTGTCCAAGGAGCAAGTATGGAGATTACATTGCCACTACTGTGTTACATCCACGTTACATCAGCTATGGCCACTGAGTGACCAATACGTCGAAACGCACGGCTGTATTATTGATACCCAAGGTAAGGTTGCATCCTGATTATCAAGTTGAACCGTTATATTTGTAGTTTCTCTTACCTTTCGTTGGTTAAGCAGTATCGAGGTAGTACCAACCCGAGACGCATTCAGCTCAGGCAACATGGTATCTTCAAGGACCCTGGTACTTCGCTCACTGCTCACTTGATCTGGTCCATCATTCGAATCAGCAATTCCATCTCATGGTCTACTACTGCCTTGGGACACTTAGAAACTCTAATTATTGTGAACAGCAGGTTATCCGTAGTCACTTTTGAGCTATCGGTGGATACCTGACGAACAAGGATTACTGTAAGGGGTATATCAGTCTGTTGGTATACGATATGATATGTCATGTTTCGGCAAGGGACCCTAAAGAGGGAGATATATGAGGCATGCTGTAAATTTCCATACTATTCCTTGCCCGTCTCACATGCTAATGATCTCAGGGAAATACGAAAACAACCAAGGGCGTTCTCGAGGCTGTGGTTGATAATCACATGTGAAGATGTATCTCGAGGAGATCACATGGTCTATTAGGCTGATGTCCACAAATGATGACCGTGTGAATAGGGACAATTGAGCTATATTCAGGACTAACTCTGGAAGAAGTCAGTCAATATATCACAACCAGCCGATGGTAAACTCTTGTGACTGAGTCAATGTCAAGAGTGGCGTCCGCTCTAAATTAGGTGAGCAATCACCAAGGTCTGGGACCGCAGGCGACTCGGTCAGGTGAGAGTTGAGCCGCAAACTTACTAGGGCTAGTGACAACGATTCACCGGCTACTTGGTACGCGAGCCTGTGTGTCACCTCCGCAATGGTAGCGGGTAACCAGTATAAGAAGTCCCGCATTTTGCAGCAACTGCCGAGGCTTGTCTTACGTCCTGAAGCAACATTCAACATCCACCCCCATTCAAAGTGTGCCAGGTGACTGAGGCTGAGGGCGTGGTCCATCAAGTCGGCTAGACGCCGGGCGCCGACCGCTTCAGAGGCCGTTCGCGCCCGCGTTGCCGCCCATTGTCACACCTCGCTGAAGCGGCTTCGGTCGGCGGGAGGTTCCCGAGTCAGTCCTAAAGCGGAATGGGGCGATATCGGAGGCTGGCCAATCCCACTGGCCGCTGGTGGAACCATCGTCTGGCGTCTGCCATCCGCCAGCCTGCCGTTCCTTTACCGTGCGGGATTTGACATCTTACTTCATCATTGCCCAATCTTCGGCGATGGGCAGATGGGCCTCAAGGTCAGCCAGTGAGCTTCTGGCCCCGGCTCTGGTCCCATCTATTCAATGGCCGGAGGAATGCAGACCGAGATAAGTGATGAGCTCGGAGGGGTGGGGACATTGAGCTCACCGGGTCCCGACGATGAGATGGATGTGGCACCCGCTGCCCGCTCCCGCCACCCTCTTTTTTCATGTTGTGCAAGGACGGCAGGCGCCATGGACAAAGGTGGTTCGGTCCGATCCTGATGATGTGCTGAACAGTCGCGCTGGTTGGACTATTCCAAAAGTCCAAACCGACAATTTGAGAAGGCGAATTTCAATGTCTGGGGCGGTAGAGAATCCATAGCTGAGAGAGGTTCGGCTGTAAATGTTGATGTTGTTTTTCCTGCACATGCCATGCAGGCCGACAAGAACAGACGGCGCGACGGCTATCTGAAGCGCGAATCCCACCAGTATGTACGCACGTCTTTCGTGCATATGCCGCTAATCATGGACACACCTTGACTGTGCCAGGTCGTCGACTCGGCGCAGGAGAGGTCTGGAAGGACGAATACAGGCATACCGTAGAAGTGGATATTTGCCGGCTGAATGGTCAATGGTGTTTTGAGGCCGGCCCTTTGTCGATGGGAATGCCGGAGTTGCAACGTTGATACACACAATAGAGGCATAGCCACGGTGTAACTGGCAAAGGGTGGCTGGCAATTCGAAATGCGACTCTCAATACTGCCGTCTCTGCCAGCCAAGGCATCTCAAGAAGCAACGACGCGATGAACACAGCGTCTTTCACCCGTGATCCTTGCAACTGGCAAACTTAACAAGGGAAAGCATGTTTTGACTTGGGCCGTTGCATCGCATGGCCATCTGAGTAGACAAAAGCATTGCAAAACATGCAGCAAAACGTTGCGGCCTTCATCTCGTTCGAGGGGAAGTGCAGATGCAGCGGGATTGTGAGGTGGATGATGATTCGTGAATCAGGCCAAAAGAAAGAAAGACTCAAGTGCTAGTGTGGGGGGATGAGCGGAGACCTATCGGAAAGGGAGTTGCGGTGAGGCTGGCGGTATTTTCCGGTGAAGTCAGACTCATTGGTTGAACAGGTGGGCGAAAGGAGTGAGAAAGTGAGAGAAAAGATGGACGAGCATTCGGTTCTTG